CCCGATGTTCTCTCTTTCTCTCTCCCTTTCTTTGCTGTCTTAACTAAAACTGGCATGGCCAGCCTCAACTCGATACAAAACGCTGCAAAAAAAAGAGCATTTATCTAATCTTTCCCCCCTCTCTATAACCCCCACCCTCCCCTCCCCTCCCTCTAGGAAAAAAAGAGACCACGATAAATGAGTTTTAGTTTAGTAGAGGTTTTACGGCGCTCGCAACTGCATAAGGCTCGGGCCACACTGCAAGCAGAGCGGGCACAGCAGAGCGCAGCTGTTTGAGGCGCTAACATTGGGTGGCCACACTGCAAGCAGAGCGGAGCGGGCGCCACTGCAATGCAACGTCGTGTGGCATTGTACAAGTACAATCAAACCTGCCCTACCTCTATAAGACGGTCACCTCTTATAAGACGGCCACCTGTACAAACGGCCACTTTCCATTTCCCCCCTTGCGTTTTTTCTATATAATTTAACTGTGTAAAACGGGCACCTGTCCAACGCGGCCGCGGCCACCATATTTTAACACACAACCCCTATCATACTTAGCAATAATACCTGTCTAAGACGGTCACCTTAGTGACTCCATTACGTTTTGTTATAAATTGTGCATTGGCCCCTGGCGTTGAGGGCGAGCCGTCATAATTCAATCACTTGTTGTTTTTTGGTAGTCCCTCCAACCGGTCATGTTGCGTAGGCCCCTCCCACTGTTGACCAATAGGTACCAATTTTCAGCTACTGGGGAGGGAAGCGTGTGATCCCTCACAACCCATAAGCCCCGCCCAGAACTCATACACAAATCGTAAGTGAGATGAGTGGTCACTGTTTACCCAGTCTGTAACAAAGTAACAATGGACGTCAACATGAACTTGTGACAGAAGCGTCGCTCGTTCTCCGAGTGGTGGCGACCCATGTGTTTGTTTTAACATGGCACTCGGTCTTCCTCGTCTGATACATTTGGTTTTATTGTCACCCTTGTGCAAAATCAGCGACAAAATGAAAAATACAAACAAAGCACAAACCACCACCACCAACAGCAAAAACAAAAACAACAGAAATGCGGCTACTTTCGATTGGGACCTCAGAAAGGAATGGTTAGTTTTCTTCATCTTGATCAGTCCTGCCTAAGACGGCCACATGTCTTATACTGCCACTTTCCTCCTTGACAATGAGTGGCCGTCTTACACAGGTTCGACTGTATTTTCATATCAGTTTCAATTGCCGTTATCTACTTTCTTTTTCCTTTCTTGTTGTTATTGTCCTGAAAGTGAGTTGATCATGCGTCGTGTGCGCTGTCAAGATTTTGTGCACGCTGTCAAGACTGTGTGCGCGCTCAGTCGTGTTCTGCATGCAGAAGTGAGTAAATTTCGAGCGTTTTCGAGCGCCGTTAAATC